AGGGTCGCGGTTTTAGGAAGGTGGAGCACCGCTGGCTTACAAGGTTGGTCCCAGATCTTCTGACCTAGGCAGGGTCAGACTGATAGGGCCTGATCATGACGGCTTGGACCCCCACCCTCGCCCCAGCAAGCCCCTGAGAGAGAGTCAGACCCTCCTGGCCTGAGAGGGGTGGAGGCAATCTACTCTCCAAGGCATCCTGCCTGAGGGTAAGATGATCGACATTCTTGGGTATTGGCCAGAAGGCATTCACTGGAGGCTTAATTTATGAGGGGACTCTGCAAATGGATTGGAGGTGTCACAGCCATTCATACCCTTTAGTCAACTAGGGTTCTCAGAACTTAAGCTCTAATACTGTAGTCTGTGTACTATATTACACTGACAACATCCAGGTGGTTTTATAATCTTAAATATTTTTTTCAGCTCTCTCAACACACACACAAATGACCCGCAAGCAATAACAGAAGCACTGTCCAATACTACCCTCCTCATCCAGATTTTAGTTTATAAAGTTGAAACATTTTTTTGTTTTAAACGGAAAGGAATCATGTCTCCTTGGTTCCACCATACCTTGGGTTGGGGAGCGGAATCAGAATGAATATTGATCCTGTTGTTCCCAGAAAACAACACAAAACAAAAAAACCAATAAGTTTTCCTGAATCAGATGAACAAAGCTGAAAAGATAAATAAGGAGCCAAGTAAGGACATTCCTGCTTGCCAAGTTGAGCCAACCTGAGCATAAATAATGCATTAATAACAATGTTTAATTAGAAAAGCGGAGCTCATAAAAGGCCATGGACTTGCTGCAGACGAGGACAGGCGTGGGAGTCTCCCTTTCCATGCCGGAGATCCAGCGCTCTTCCCGGTACAGCCTCCACTCACCTGCCAGTGGAGACGTGTGTTGCTGAGCGTTTCAGGGGCGCGTCCAGACTAACTGGAAGACTGACTAGGAAGAAAGACGCGGTTATCTACTTCCCAACGTCAAGACCAAACCCATTGTCGGTTCCTACTCATAGCCATGGACAAACCACAACTGGCCCCGTGGGGTTTCCAAGGATGTAATCGCCTGAAGAAGTAGAAGTCACATCTCTCTCCTGTGGAACAGATGGCTGGTTGTCACAAGTTAAAATGTATGGCCTTCCGTACACCTATATGTTCTCAACCCACATAGGCTTTTTATGAAGCTTTCAAACTGCAGACGTACCATTTGAAATTAGAAGTGATATGTGTAAGTAAGTACATCTATGTTTTACACATATATCGATATATGACATGAACACATATGTCTATATATGACACAAATATATACATAAAAGTATAATTATAAAAATGTGTATACGAGGAGGCTTCAAATAGTTTGTGAGAAATGGAATGAAAAGATAATGGAATTTTCCCACAAACTTTAAAATCCCCTTGTGTTGTACTCTCCAAACAGAATTGTAGAAGCCATTGTCAATTACAAGCTGTGAGAAACTAGAGCTATAAACCTTCTGACTTTAAAAATAGGTGTGAGCCATTTGTAAACAATGCAAAACAAATGTAACAAAACTAAATCTCTGCAAGGTGGCCTTGAAGCCCTTGGAATGTTATAAACAACCTCCCTGAATTGGCGTGGCTCACATCTGATAGGATAAAATATGTGTGACATAAAAGTGGCATCGGGAATGTCATAAATAACTTATTAACCCCTGAATGACAGAACATTGGTGGAATGCTGTCCTTAAAAATGATGTAAGACACTACATGCTGTCTAGTGGTCCCAAGGGGCCACATGAGACCAAAGCTACAGTTACATGGAAGTTGTGAGTTTAATTGGGAGTGCTAGTGGCATAGTGGTTGTGCATTAGACTGATAACCACAAGGTCAGCAGTTCTAAACCACAAGCCACAGTGTGAGAGAAAGATGGGACTTTACTCTTGCAAAGAGTTGCAGTCTCGAAAACTCACAGGGGCAATTCTACCCTGGCCTTTGTTTCCGACCAAATGGCAGTGAGTTAGCTTGGTTTTAGTGAGTTTAACTGAGAAAGGAGCAAAGAGAAGAGACCTCTCTGTGGAATTTTGAAATCTCCACAGAGGAAACCCTGACAAAAAACATCCCAAAGTTCCTGCCACGAAGCTCTCAATGCATAGTTATCCTACAGGACAGGGCAGAATTACCCCTCTGGGCTTTGAAGCTATAACTCTTTACAAGAGCAGGAAGCCTCAGTTACCCCTTCCCACCCCATCCTCCCTCCACCCTCCTGGTAGCGCCACTCACACCTCTGGTCCTGAAGGGATCATCCGAGCTGGATTCCCTGTATTTCCAGTTCCTATCTGTACCAGTGTACATCCTCTGGTCTAGCCAGATTTGTAAGGTAGAATTGGGATCATGATAGTGTGGTGGGTGGTGGGGGAGGAAGCATTTAGGAACTAGAGG